TTCTTTACAGTTCAATATGTCAGTATACGGAAGACAGCAGTAAAATCAGCCAGTGACCTATATTAAAGAATTCAGAAGGAGGAAGAAAAAGAAAACAGGGACTGACGTGGTCATTTCAGGCCTATAAGCCATCGTCAGCCAAAGCTAACAAACTCTAGGTGCTCCTCCTCCTCCTGAAGAGTGACTTGTCTGTATGCGTCCGCTTACGAGAGCTCTAGGTAGAGCTTCAAGGTAAAACGAGACAAGTGCGTCCCGTAAGATGATCGGCGAACGCACCCCCCAGTCTCGAGTTCTGGTAATAAATATGGCTACGCACGGAGCTCGCGCGAAACGAGACAGGGAGCATAGTGGATAAAATCTACGCAGCATTGGCAGATATTATGATGCATGCACGAGCCACCGCTCGGAGAAAAAGTAGAGACTCGAGACCTAAGATCACTAACTGACATTTCTTCAAAATCAAAGTCCGACCGCTGGCACTGCCCTCAGTCTTTTCAACACTTGAACCAAACATATCCGCCTCCGTCACGACGTTAAACAGTTCGAAATATCGCAAATCTGTTGGTGAATCCACCCTTCCTTTTCGATTTCAGATGTCCTCTAAGCACCCATGACATGGCTCAGTAAATCCCCTGGGCAACCCATGTAAATACGTTTTCACCTGCCAACGAATGGTAACTGCAAAATAAGCCTGCTCTTAGGGCAGCGACAGTACAACCAGAGCGTGGGTGATTGGCGTGCTTCGACAATCCCAAAATGGCGTTGCGGTTACAAATAGCGATTAAATAGATTCTGCTGTCACCACCACTACTGGGCCAAAACGTCAGAAAAACGAGCTCGAACCAACAAATTGGGTAGTTGTTAGGTACCGGGCCGTGCCACAGAAAACTAAACTGCAACGACGAAACGGGATAAGATGGTTTGATCTAGACACCTTCGGTAACAGACGAAACCCCGGTCCAGCGATACGGGCGAATTGCTCAGTCAGGAGGTTTTATTTTGAAGGCTCAAATACGAAAACGCCGCTGTATCAGCTACCGACTAAGGTCGCTGTAAACTGTTGAAGGAACGCCTTGCTCTTGGTGCTGGATGCGCCAATGGTTAAATACCGCCAAACTGTAGACCAAGAACGGCTACCAGCAAAATTGGCTTACAGGTTGTCGTAAAGGGCTACAGGCCTAATACTCTCGCGATTTATTTGTCCACAATTTTGTTCGTTCGACAAAACGTTTGGTACATGGCAGCCTTATATTATGCAGCTACAACATCTCATCACAGTTAAGGTTCTGAAAGCGGCAATCTGGCTACTATGATCTTTAGGTCAAATTAAAGGGAGAAACCACGGCAAATAATCGTAAAACAGCTGAAAATTTTCTAGGATTCACACAGCGACACCGTAATGACTGCCAGCTGGAGACAGATCCCGCAATGGTGAAGTTTCCTACCCATTTCGTGAAATAACGAGGAATGGTCAGCAGGACTAAATCACATAGCGCTAGCCACAAGCGCCAACCATCCAAATCATTAAAGTGGGCACAACAGCAGTGGTGAATGTCTTACGATGTGAATGACTGCTCTTGCGCTCACAACTCAGCTAAGGGGGAACGACTAACCACCAACTTGTTTTTGCAGAGTCAGTGGTTTGTTCTTGACCGAGGTATAAGGGACTAAGGGAGATATAAGGGACCAACTTGTTTTTGCAGAGTCAGTGGTTTGTTTTTCACCGGGGTATGAGGGACCATATGACTCCCTTCTGCACGGCAAAGCCTCAATACAATACTGAAACCACAAAACAATGAGGAGCTCAACGAAGAAATTCAACTTCCTTTATCACGTTATGTAAGTATAGTGTGCAAAAAAGGTTTCACTGGCAACAGAGTCTATGACAACTCTCCATGGTTGCGTTCTAAAATCTTTTGAAACCCTTCCATATTTGGCCAGGTTTTTTGCTAAGACTGAATTCCTTAGCTGGGTTCACAAGCGGCCGACGCCGTTAAACCGTCTCAAACGCACCAACAAAACTGTCCTAGCGGCCAGTTACGAAGACGCATAGACCGTTGAAGTCGTTCACAGCCTGTTGGGCTATCTGCCAGTGCTGAAACAACAGAAGTATGCTTAAGGAGCAGCTGCGGCATGTTTCTGTGCAAGGTCGAGGTCTATGCGACACTTCATGTAGTACAAAAATTCATAAATGCCGAATATTTTCCCGGTGCGTCGTCCTCAACGGCTGTAAAACCTAAGCCATGCACACAAAACTAGAGATTTGTGATTAGCTTTGCTGTTTAATATATCTGACTAATCAGGCATGCGGTTCTCGAAATATTTTAGGAGGACAACTGACATACATCGGTCATATTTTCGGGTACAAAATACTCCTTCGAGTAAAAAAATGGACAAAGTAAGTCATACGACACGAAGAAGCGTTTGCTGCGCAGCCACAAAGTAAGATACTTTTCAAAATGACAAAAATTAACCATTCAAATCTGCCTTGTCATAGTTAAAATCATATGCTATGGAGTGTTTACGTCCATCTCAGTGGGCGTACAGCCTCGTTTATGGGTGGTGCACCATTTTCACGGAGATTTCACTGCAAAAAATAAAACCCCGACATGAAAAATGTCACTAGACTACCGGAAACGGTTGTTGTCCCTGGTCGAACAACTACAAATAATTTGCATCTTAACATCCGAAGTTACGTCGATCAGTGATAAATGAAGCAAATTGTTCCATTTGAACCTTACAGTATGAAAACAACCAATATTTGGCAAATGTTACGTTGCAGCAGATGTGGATTCTTCCAAAAATCATGACACTGAGCACGTCTTGGGCTGAAATCAGACGACAAAGGGCAAAAAAACTAGAAAAAGGATGTTGAGTAACAGGATCGCCTGCCAAGATCTACCATTCAGTTATCTGCGCATGACGTTTTAAGGGGAAATTGTCTTACCCGAGACAAGATAGTCTTCTTACGGAACTCCTCAAAGTTGTTGGTCAAGGATAGAATGTGTTTGTATAGGAATGGTGGATCACACTGAAGGTCTTCGTTACCGACACCAGAGAGACAGGGGTTTGCCAGTGCTTCTTTTGTCGGAACAACAAAGGGGAAGACGGGCTTGTCAACGAAGGCACCAAAACCCATCCGCAAGTCCTTGGTGACGGCAGTAAATGAATTTGCAATGTCCTCCGTGAGGCGAGATACTGTCTCTAGGTCATCACGCATAGTATAACTAAGATCCACGAGGAAGTACAAGTCCACGGGGTAGT